TCAAAGTCTAGGGACAAGCCTCCCGGTTTCTGATGCTAACCTTTCACTTGTTGGGAATTTGGACACTTAGTCACAAATCCCGCAATATCCTTCTTCATCCCATTCCACCAATAGACTTCACACAAATCACGGTATGTCATGGTGGCTCCTGGGTGAATGGAATACCGTGAACTATGGGCTTCTGACAATATCTGCTCCCTCAAGTCATCAACATTTTCAACATATAAACGACCTTGATATCTAAGTACACTATCTCTCCCTTGGGAGAAAGGCTCAATGGATTTCTTAAGCACTGCTTCTTTCAATTCTAAAATTTTTTGATGAAGACCCTGCATGGCTTTCATATCCGCCTCAAAAGATGATTCAAAACCATTGTGAACCATAACACCACCCTTGGAGAGTCCACTAATTGAACACCTAATCAGGCCAATCTATGAACATCTCGAACCAACTCTTTCTTTTCTTGTTCAATATGAGCAATACTACCCATAGATAAACTGACTAAGAGCATCCGCCACTAATTTGCCTTTCCGGGGTGATAAAGAACACTCATATCATAATGTTTCAATAACTTGAGGCAACTTCTTTGGCGAAGCTTTGAATCTTTCTTATTTTTAACATATTGCAAACACTTATGGTAGGTAAACATATCTACATAAACACCATACAAATAGTATCTCCAAATCTTTAAAGCAAAAGCCGCCGTTGTTAATTTGAGGTCATGGATAGGATAATTTTTCTTATGAGTTTTAAGTTGCCTTGAGCCATAACCAATAACTTTCCCATTTTGCATAAGCACACACTAGCCCAATTCTTGAGGCATCACAATAAATAACAAAACAATATGTCCCTTCCGGTAAAGTCAACACCGGAGCGGAAGTAAGTTTATCTTTCAACTCTTTAAAAATCTTTTCACATAATTCAGACCGTATGACCTTAGCTTTCTTTTGAGTCCAAGCCGTCAAAGGATAGTTAATTGAAGAGAATACCTCAACAAACCATCAATAGTAACCGGCTAAACCCAAGAAACTTCCAATATCCGAAGGAGTTAAAGGTCTAGGCCAAATCTTGACCGCATCCGTCTTCTTAGAATCTACCTCAATACCTTTACTTGAAATAATATGACCAAGGAAAGCTACGGACCTTAAACAAATTCACATTTGCTAAACTTTGAAAAAAGTTCTTGGTGCTTAAGAATTTGAAACATGATCCTCAAATGATCAATAAGCTCATTCTCAGTTCTTGAATAGATCAATATGTTGTCAATGAACACAATCACAAACATGTCAAGGTATTATCTGAACACCCTATTCATCAAGTCCATAAATGTCGTCATGGCATTTGTCTACCCAAATGACATTACTAAAACTCATAATGACCATACCAAGTTTGAAAAGCCATCTTTGGAATGTTATCTTCTTTCACCCTCAATTGGTGATAACCCGATCGAAGAACAATCTTAGAGAAATAACTTGCTCCTTGAAGTTGGTCAAATAAATCATCTATCCTTGGGAGATGATACTTATTCTTACTGTTCAATTTGTTAAATTGTCTATAATCGATACACATACGAAGAGAACCATCTTTCTTTCTAATAAACAAAACAGGAGCACCCCATGGAGAAATACTCGGTCGGATGAAACCCTTATCCAACAAATCTTTCAATTGTTCTTTTAGATCCTTTAGTTCTGTCAGAGCCATACAGTAATGAGGAATAGAAATAGTTGCGTATCTAGTAGAAGGTCAATACCGAAGTCTATTTCCTATTAAGGAGGAATACCGGGTAAATCATCTAGGAACACTTCCGAAAACTCATTAACAATGGGGACCAACTCAGAGTAGGGATTTAGGAATCTACATCCCTCACCCTAACTATATGGTAAATTAAACCCTTAGAAATCGTCTTTCAAGACTGAAGATTAGAGACAAACTGACCCTTATACATATAATTTCCCCCTTTAAACTTTAGGACAGGCTCATTCGGGAACCGAAACTTGACTACACGGGTTCTACAATCAATAGAAGCAAAACATGAGCGAAACTAATCCATACAAAATATAACATCAACATCTAGCATATCAAGGTCTACCAAGTCAACAAGAGTAACTTTATAGGACGAGGAAATGAGACACTTTTTATAGACCCTCTTAGCCACAATAGAATGTCCGACATAAGTAGAGAAAGAAAAAGTTTCTAACAACACATTCAGAGGAAAATCAAATCTCATAGCCACTTATGATGTAACAAAAGACAAGGTAGCACCGGGATCAAGTAAAGCATAAACATCAAGTTGGAAACCGTTCAACATACCGGTAACCACATCGGGAGAATCCTGTTGTTCACCACGAGTCTGAAGTGCATAGAATTGGTGGGGCTTTGTAACGTCCCATATTTTGCATATACTAGTTCTATGTGAGTAGTGAGGGTTTGAAATAGGTTTGACAATATTCGAAAGAGGTTTGAGGCTAAATAGAGTAAGTAAAGTATAATTTGTCATAGTAATCAACCTACTTGCTTAAGCTACTGATTCGGATGTCTTACGTAATTAAGTTACTTACGTACATGTGTAGCTTACTTAGAAAGGATGACATAGGTTCTTAATGGTAGATTAACTGCTGACCTACTTAAATAAGTGGTAAGTAGGTGATGCACCTACTTAGGAAATATGTGGACTGCATTTTTAAAGAAAAGGGCAACTAGGTGATGCAGCTACTTAAAGAACTTGTGGCAGAAATTAAGGGAGTGATGTACCTGCTTAATTAAAGTGAGGGACTAGATATTTCTACACATTTCTTAATGTAAAAACGTCCATAAAGGACCCTTAAGAGGATGAAATTCATTTCATATATCTCTCACTTGTTCTACAATAATTTACTCCCAAAAAGAAACCCTAGAAGCTCCAAAGTGCTGACCTACAAGTTCACCATTAAAAATCTGAGAAAACCCTTTATTTTTCAAGTACAAGTTGGTTTAACATCTCCCATCTTAAGAAATTCAAGAGGAGGAATTGATTTCACCTTAAGGTAAGGCTACTACCATATGTTAATTTTTTCATCCCTCTTTTGTGCTTGAATCGGTTAGGGGATTTGATATGTGTTAATGAGCTGAGAATTGTTCCTTTTACATGGTATGAGATTGGGGAATGTTCTGGTTGATTGTGCATGTTGGGACATCAATGGAGGGAAGTCCCCTTTAACTCAATTGTTAGCCCATTTGAGCATTTTAAATGTAATGTTAGTTGAATGCTCAAGGGACAGTGGTCGGAAACCGTGAGTTCATATTTCTACTGCCACATTCTGATGTTTAGAAACTGATTTGTGTATAGTAACATAAGGAGGCATGTGCAGAAGTCATGAGAACTTGTTAAAGGATAAAACGGTAAAGGGTGCAGTAACGTACCATCTAATTGGGCGTTGCATGAGCTTGCTGCCTGCAACCCCTTTGTATACTGTTTTGCATATGTTATAAAGCCCGAGGCGTTTCAGGGGACCTTATTAGAAGGTTGTATTGTATATGACGTTATTAAAGGAGAAGGGGTGGAATGCATACCATCCGTTTGATAAGTATGGGTTTGCTGCCTGATTACTGTTTGCCAAGCTCAAGTAGCCCAATCTGTTGGTTAGCTACTAATATTAGTTGTGTTACTTGTTTCATTGTGGATTAATAATCGGAAAGGAAGGAGGTTAATTCGTTGTACTATCTGAGTGGTACAGCAAGGTATGTAAGGCTATTCGATTCTATATTCTTTGGCATGAACTCTGCTTGTGTCACTACCAACAAGTGAGCTTCCTAAGTGTTCTTTCAAGTAAAAGACACATAGTGGCAGCGTACAATCCCAAACACAACTAATAATAGTTCCCCTCTCCTTAGTATGTCGAATTGCTTCAATATATGTGCATTTTTACTTTTCCAAGTATTAGTATGAGAAAAGGGTAATTTCAGCAGTAGCTTTGTGATTCCTCCTGTCAATCAAATGAGGTCCATTGTGTCATTTGAGATCTTATGTAATTCATTAGTGTTACATTTCCATCTTGTGTTATTGTTACTGCCCTAAGTGCATATTCACATGTTTACTACTGATCCACAGTTTTGATGCTCAAAAATAATTATGACCACCAAAATAACAATCTCAAAGATTAAAGAAACTATATGAAGCGGTATATGTGTAAGGGTGGCAGCCCAGCGGCAAAAGCCTAGCATGGGTCGATCCCAATTTGTGTATAAGGGTGGCAGCCTAGGGGCGAAAGCCTAGCATGGGTCGATCCCAAATTTATATATTTGAGGACAATATCTCACGGGTTAAAATGCCTAGCATGGGCCATCCTCTTTTACCACTGATCAGTTGGTTATTTGTATTACATGCTTTACAGAGATCGCAATGTAAAGAAAATTTACAGAAAATAATATAATGTACATGATCCCACAACATCAACAAGGGTGGTCTTTAATCTAATCTATGCAGTTACATATTGATACTTAATATCAATTGAGCTCTTGTTTACATATGTTATTGCCTTACATATTCAGTACATTCTTCGTACTGACGTCCCTCTCGGGGGACGCTGCATTTCATGCTGCAGCCACAGGTACTCCAGCTAGTAGACCTCCCCAGTAGGAGCACAGGACACTCAGCTGCTATTGGTGAGCTCCAAGTTGATTCAGGGCTTAATCGAGTCTTTGGCATCTATTTTGTTACCGTATAGTAGTTAAGGGTAAGGCAGGGCCTTGTCCCGACCTAAACTAAGGTTGTCTATCTTGTAGAGGCTTTGTAGACTAATGTATAAAGTTTGGTTGTGTCTTGTCTCTTAACAATTGTGGCCTTAACGGCGGAGTGTTGTACATAAGTTTTGGGCCTGTCTATGTCGGTGTTTTATCACTACAGGGCATATAAGCTTGTCATAGCTTCATAGTTATCATATTTAAATGTATGGTAAGTGCAGGTTGTAAGTTGGTTCTCCCGGGCCATTTAGACATCGGGTGCCTGTCCGTCTTAATCAGATCTAAGGCGTGACAGGCTTAGGAGTATTGCGACCCGAAACACTAGTAGGAGCTCGCCTGCGCTCTTTTCCTTTAGTCGCAAAGATTGGACAATCCCTCATTTTGTGACCACTTTTACCACAACTAAAGAAACCATCCATGCCGGCTAGGCACTTACCCTCGTGCTTTCTTCCACACCAAGTACAAGTAGACATGGGCAATGAATTGGAGGATCCTTGAGAAGAAAACTTTTGTTGAAATCTAAGACGACTATGTCTATCGGACCTTGCATGAGAGAAATTACCATCACCGGTATTAGCCCTCTTTGCCTCTCTAGACTTTTTCTTAAGTTTGTGCTCCTCAATTTGTTGTGTATGAACAATGAGACTAGAGATGTCCATGTCACTAATGAGCATGGCAGTACGACAATCTTTAACCACCATTTCGGACACACCAAAAACAAACTTACTCATCCTAGCTGTTGAATCGACAACCATTGATGGAGCATACTTAGACAATTGTGTGAACTTTCAAGCATGTTTCCTCACACTCATACTCCCGTGTCGGAGGTTAATGAACTCAAGCACCTTTTCTTCCCTCATCTCAAAGGGAAAGAACCTATCAAGAAAAGTTTCTTTAAACTTCTCCCAATAAAGAGGACCCGCATCTTTCAGTCTCCGTTCTTTCCAGTGGTTTAACCAAATTTGAGCCACACCCTTTAGTTGGTGAGAGGCCAACTCCACTACTCGAAATTCGAGCTATGGCGACACTAATAAAACTGTTGCCATAGATAGAATATCCATTGCCATAGCTCTACCGCAACGCTTTAGCATGCATAACATCAGCTCGCGTAGCCATAGATCTATAGGAACGGTGTTTTGCAATGTGTCTCTATGGCAACGGTTATTCTTTCATCTAGTCCAACAAATATATAAGATTATTGCAACGCATTGTAACCATTGCCATACATTTACTACGACAGCCAAGCTCTATATTGCAACTGTTTTTGTCAATAATTGAACAATCAACATGACACTATTGCAACGGTTTGGAATACATTTTAAAATGGTTATGAAATATGAGCCTTGGAAATATCAGAAATAATAATACACTACAAATTATACAAATTACAAAACAAATTTCTTTCATACATAACAATTCAAAATACCCATCAAGTTAATCATATGCGGAGTAAATACAAAATGTTCAAACCCAATGACCATTAGTTGACATTTAAATGATTCCAAAAATTATATGATAAGTTCCATAATGTTCAATAGAAAATGAATTTTTGAACATATCTATCAACAATCAGAAAGACTTCTTAAGTAACTAGGTAAGGTTGCCTTCACTGCTATCTTCTTCCCATTCTTCATTTTTGACACCTACAAAAAGAAGATATACAATGTCAAGTTATGTAGATAACCACTCAAAAGACGATCAGGAAATTTTGTATAGGGTCTCCTTCTATGGATCACAATGAAACTAGCATATTCAAGTAATCTATAATACATCAATGAATTAAATATAGAGACATTAATGATCTAATTTTATCAAATCAAACAAATCTAACATGATCAATTCTTAAACACAGACAAATCATAAATACAAATAAGCTCAAACTGTCACAATAATCATTTGATCAAATCTTGATCCATCTCTTGAGTCCTGACTGTTCGGATTTTCCAATTCAGACCAAAATAGGCATTATAAATTGAGTACCAAACTGAAGTGAAACTGAGTACCAATTAGATTTTCAAGTGCAGACCAAAATAGGCACAATAAACTGAGTACCAAACTGAATTGAAATTGAGTACCAATTGGATTTTCAAGTTCAAACCAAACTGATCTAAAACTCATTTCAATAATTACTTGCCAACAACACCAAATCCAAGTCTTGAAATTGCTTCAGATTTGAAATAGGAAACTAGAGGACTAAACATAGCAGTCTTCATAGTCATCGTGAATTGTTTTTTTAAAACACTTAATGAGACTATAACAATGATATGATCCGCACACATAACTGATCCATCACTAAATTGTAACTTCATTGGCTTTGTACCATCACCATTTTCCAAATAAGTACCTTTAACTAGATTGTGCCTTGAATTGTTAAGCAACAAGGCCCCATACTAAGGTACAATACATGCTGTTTTTGAAAAGCAAACAAATAAGAACGTAGTTCATTCATACAAAGTACATGAGACATTTACAAAAAGATAGAGTTATTGTGGAATTAAATTTACATCCTACTAGCTGGGACCTGGAACATGAATAACATATCAGGGAAATACTTGCGGGAAAAAATAAAAAAGATTGAGAAGGGAGAGATCAGATAAGTACAAGCCCAAGCATATCACAACAATATATACCGCATAAATCTAAAGTGATACTAAAATTGATACATCTACACATAATATGAAAAAAAGAAGAAGTAGAATAAGAAAGTAGAATGGGAAGAGGAAGAAGAAGAAAAAGAAGAAGTACCAACCTTGATTGTTACTACCAATATATAGACGATTGATTACTGGAATAGCAGCCTCTTATCCCAGCGAATGAACACTGAATCTTAGCATGCTAGGATCAAGTGCTAATCCTGGATTTAGACGCTGAAGTTGTGCAATGATGTTCATTTTAACATCTCTTTCCTTCTTATCTTTCTTTGCATTCAACTTTTCATGCATTCTTTGTTGAATCGACTCTTCCAGTTCCTACATTTTTCTTTGCATCCTTTCATCATCGACAACATTAGAAAGGGGTAAAAAATTTGTCACTTAGTGTTTCAAAAGAGTCTTGGTAATCCTACGTCCATACAATCTTACTCAACCTAGATGATCAGGTGACATAACGATTGCATATGCATCAATTGATTGACAACCATCTTTATTAAGTTTCTATTGTCTCCATTTCTGCCTACAAATCAGATCCAACAGAATAGAGTTCAAGTAATTTAAATTGATCCACTATTTAAGAACAAAGAAATTATCTTGATAAAATTTGAATAAGAAAACTTTGTACTATTTTGTCGTACTAAATTTTCATTATATGTTCAACCATAAACAAATTTCATACTTTTATATAAATTTTGGATGATTAATAAGCGCAGGAGGACTCGTTTGACGTAAGGTATACGGTATAATAATTCAAAGGATAATATGCAGACAATATTATAATAATTCGAAGATGAAAAGGCTAAAAATCACTCAAATTTAAAGCTCCTATGGATCGATACATAGCATATGCATCAGTTTGTAGATATAATAAGCACATGAATACTTGTACAAGTAATTTAGCAAATAGAGTGAAGTAGCGACCCTGTAACTGTTTCTTGGAAATGCTTCAGCATTTACCAATCTTTAAAAAATGGACATGTAAATGCCAAAATTTTACTTGTTATTGAAATATTTCAGTACAAACTTTAAGAAAATGTGTTCACCGTCACCTGTAATGAGATTAGAACATGAACCTAAAGAAAAAAGACATTTTACTGCATCCTATAATAATACATTTCATCCCTTTATTTTTAAAAAACAATTAACCGCATCGATTGCCCAACCATTCTAAAGAAGAAAAAAATTGGCAAATCAAGTAGTAAATTTTGTAATTAAAGATTAATACACAAATATCAATGAGTAGAGATTTTGTATAACTCATACCAGCGATTTTGTAGATAATTAGGGCAAAAATTAAAGAACTTACTAGCAATTCCGAAACTGATTAAGTTAGGGCTCTTGAAATTAGTGAAGAAACTAGCAATTTTGGACTCTCCTACAAGCGATTTTGAACTCTTCAGTGAGAGATTTTGGATCGCGCAAGTCTGAACAAAGAATCATTTTATGCAATGAATGAAAGCTTTTAAAAAACCCTTTGAATAGAAATGAAAGATTCTGAGAGCTGGAAACGTCGCTGTGTAATTTTCAATTAAAAGATTTAGCACCTGTAGGTTGTAGTTACTGAAGACGCTACAATGTATTTTCATTTTGTGAGAGAATAAAAAAAATCAGTGAAAAACAAGTAGGGAATGCTTTTTTTTCTTTTAGGCGATATTCTGAAAATTGGGGGAAAAGGAGGGAATATTACAAATCATAGCAATAGAAATAAACTTGTTGCTAAAAAATATATATCGCAATGGGTATAGAAGACTGTTGTATCAGGTCTTCTATAGCAACGGTTTTTACAAAGCTGCAACGGTTATTTGTTAATACGTGAGGATATCACTGTATATCATATGCAATGGGTTTAACTATTGCCATAGACTATATATGGCAACGGTTTTCAAGACGTTGTCGTAAAAGTCATTCTCGTAGGTCCAATTTCTAGTAGTGTCCACCATCTCCACCGGCGTCACTCCCATGATCATCAAAACTTTATAAACCCCTTCAGTGAACTCTTGAGGATCTTCCTCAACCTTAGAACCATGAAACTCCGGAGGATTCATCCTAGTGAAACCCCTCACTCTAGATGCCTCCATCCCAACATTTGGGTTCAGGGGCACCGCAACCTCTTTATTGTCTTGGGCCGTCACGACTTGAGACAACATTTGAAAAGCAACCGTAAATTCCACATTAGTCACTTACTTGGCCAAAGGATTGACCGGAAATTGAGGAGCTTGGGGAGGAGTTTCTTGTTCCTCATTGTCCCTTATATTCCTTCTAGCATAACTTCATCGAGTACCCATATCCTGTAGACCACCATGTAAGGATTAGGAGAATGACTTTATAGAGTAAAACTCTATTGCATGACTTTAGATTAATGAAAGAAGTGGAGTTTCCTCATTATCTTGTAGCCTCTCATTCATAAATGTGGTAAGCTTCACACTTATGAACAAGACTCTACTAGACGTAGCTTATGAGGCATCCTCGGACCATTCTAAAACTTGTGCTCTGATTATGAATTTTGTCACGACTCAGGGGTACCCCGTAGATGTAACATGGCATATAGAACCCTAAAGGACCCCATAAAAGCCACTTTACTTTCAGAACATAAGAAATAGAACAATAGAAGTAAAACAATAGTCCAAGTCCAATAGTTTATAAAGGGAAAAGTGAAAGTCTAAAACACTTGTCTTAGTATAGCCATCTAGTACAATAGAATGAAATTAGGCCTAGACTATTACATCATGTCCAAAAGAGAAATACATGAAAGAAAGTGAAACAATAAAGCTTTGTCCTCAAAGCACGAGGACTCACTCACTAAAGCTCAGAAATCTTGAAATCAAACACTAGCAACAAAACAGAGAAACCTGACTATCGGACCCTACATTTGGGGAAATGTAGGCAATAGTATGCCTTAGTACAAAAAAATGTCCCAAGTATGATAGTTATGCATAAAACATTTAAATCATGCTAAAAGGGACATTTCATTTCATGACATGAAATCGACTAATCTAAAACATGATATAAGAGAGTTAGAAAACATAAGTCATAAAACCAGGGTCAATTTAAGCTAATCAAATTTAAAGCCTTTGAACACATACAAGATAATTCTTGAATTAACC